GATTTGGGTGAAAATTTACAGAGCAAATTCACTTTCCATAGAGCAGTTCACATACACTTTGTCTCATGACATTCACCACAATTTATCACAATGCAACAGCTCCCCTCCTTCTTCCTTCTGATAGTTACCTCTTCCCTGTGTCCATCCCTCCATGCATGCCTGCCCCCTGAACTGTCTCCCTGTGCATAAGCAGCCCTTCTTTCTCCCATGATTGTTCTCTCCAAGGAGTTTATCTGCCTCAGGTAAATGTTCAACTCATATGCCTGTCTATTGTTTGGCTGGAAGCCACAGGTATGGGTTGAATTCCAGACCTGAAGGGCAGCTAGGGGCCATAGTCTTAGTGGTTCCACCAGGCTCTATTGGACCAGCAAACCTGGTCCCCCCCCTTTTTTTTCTACAAATGATTTTGAGTTTTGTTCCACATTGTTCTCTCTCTCTCTTTAAGATCTCCTCCATAGATCCCCTTCCAAGTAGCTGATAGTAGTAGCCAGGCACCATGTAGCTGTTTTTGTCTCATAGTCATATAGGCTGCAGACTGGATGGTGTACCAGTTGCTAGGACTAATTGTTTCCATGAATTTTTTGTTTTCTTCATTCTTCTTTGCTCTGGATGAGGAGAGACCCATAGTTGCATCTAGATGGCAGCTTGCAAGCTTTTAAGATCCCAATCACTACTCGCCAAAGTAGGAGATGGAACAATGTTTTGTGTAGTATGTTATGTCAAGTGAGCTTGATGTCCTCTTCGACTATGGTCCCAAGCCCACAGGTTCAACTACTCAGTTCCTCTGGGTAGCTGGCTGTGACCAAGCAGTGACTACAACCTTGCCCCTTGTAAGCTCTACTATTGTTGTTGTTATGTGCTGTCGAGTCGTTCCTGACTCATAGCAACCCCTCCTTAGGTTTCAGAGGCAGTATCACTATGGAAGTAGATTGCCCTATCTTCCTTCCGATGAGTGACTGGTGGGTTTGAACCGCCAGCCTTCTGGTTAGCAGTCAAGTGCCTTAGGCACTATGCTACCAGAGCTCCCAAGCTCTGCTATACACCTGGGAATTCAGATCATACACATAAACTTATAG